AAGATGCATGGTTTTCTGTCCTGGTTCTCGCTATTGATATTTTGTGCAAGTGAGTCTCAGATTTTCTTCCCTGTCTATTTTGCCTACCTTCCCCCAACCCCCAGCTAGTGTCTTTATGCTGTGTATGCTCATCCCGTTGTCTCTTGAGTCTCAATCTAGAACCCCCGTGGACAGTCGCCTGGCGAATAGTAGCATATGCGGATAATGGAGTACTGATAAAGACAAGAAAGGCCGGAATGTCCATTTCTGGCTCCACACTTGGGATTGTGTATGCCTTGCTGACGATGGCTCATAAGCCAGAAATGGCCATTTCGGTCGCCCTTGCCCTAGTTGGTACTTCAGCATCTATATATATACACCTATATGTGTTTCCGAAGGACCCCGCTTGTTTCTGAATATTATTTAGTGACTGTTTGAATAATCGATATTCCTAATATTTGACTTGCATGGCGAACTCTCTTCGACACATTGATGAAGCAAACCTGCTCACAGGTCGGCTAAGTAGCGACTGAACGACAAAACATGTGTCTAGGCTTTTAGCCGGTAACTGTGGCCTCATTGTAGTAAATCATACAGATGTATGAACATTTCCGTTGATTTTGGGTCCCCTTTTAAATCCAAACACTTATCATAGAAGCCCCGCACAATAAGATAAGTTACTGTACTCATTTGGTTGAAAATTAAGTCTTCTTACAAGTTCATCACCGAAAGAAGGATACCTCCTGAATCATAATTGTGTAAGTATTGGATATTGCAAACCCAGAAGCGTCTATTCGAGTAATCTTGTAGCTTCCCGTTTTTGATTCGCTTTATAAAATATAATACTTGCTCGATATCCATTGAGTATTTGTTGAGTTTTGTCTGACACTTTCTTTGTAGAGTAAAGGACCGTATGAGCTTCCTTCAATGGCGTGCACAGCCCGTAGGTTAGAAACCCTAACGTTAGTGAAATGGCACGTACTTTTCAAAATTATTTGGGAATTGAAGGACTTGAAACGCCTGGAAGATAACCCATCCTCGAGTACAATATTTAAATAAGACTAGAATTGCTGCCGAGGGAGTACAAGGAAGGGAATTGGTGTGCACATGTTTCGTTCATGAATAAAATATTTAGGAGTTTACTAGGACATGAAAGATAAGGGAAAAGTATACTGCAAAAGTTGGCATTTTAACGCGTATGACCTTGGAAGTCCCCAGAATTAAACACATTTAACAGCCGGCATCAGAATTAAACACATTTAACAGCCGGCATTGTGGCTTTGCTGAAATGTCTGGAATAGTGCTATTTGATAATTAGTATGCTAATCCAACCAAGTTATCCTGTCTAGTCGAACATGAATTCACGAATTTCGTTTAACATTTAACATGACACGTCCTTTATCCAGGTTACTTCTCAAAATTGTGACCTGAATGTCTACCGCTCGAAGTAGCACAAACACCGAACTTTTATCCTGCCTCAAGAAGGCCTCAGCAAAACTACGTTCTTAGAGTAGCATCCATAATGAATCGTCCGGCGGAAGAACCTGCACATGTCAGCCTTTTCCCTTTGCCACCATGGCAACTGATTAATAAGTATTCTGATGCCGAAGTAGCAGCTGGTACCGCGCCACCTCCACCCCAAATTCCTGCCTCTACATCATTTCGCATGTTTGGAACCCTTTTTAATACGGACGACCCTGTTTTAAAACCACTGGAATCCGATGGAATGCGCCGTGTTTATCCACAGACCTACAACCGCAAGTTGGAATTGAAAAAATTGAACTTTTCCATATTGGCAAACTACTTGGACCTGTTGGATGTTATCACTCGCGACCCCAGCTCACCTAGAAGGACAGAGAAGCTTGAACATCTCGGTATACTGTTCGTCAATATGCATCACATCCTAAACGAATACCACCCCCATCAAGCTCGCGACCTGGAGATGCTGCGTTATCAGGTTGATATTGCTCGCGAGACCGTCCGCAGGGGTAGAGAATATTTTGCACGAGCCGATGAGACCCTCCGCACAGCGGCTCAGCAGCTAGTCGTTCCCGGACCCTCTTCCGCTAGCAAGTCCTCATCGTCGACTTCCCCATCCTTTGCCGACTTGGGGTCCGAATTATCTTCTTTCCTAACTGATTTACAAGCGGACTTGAAACTCTCCGATTCGAAGTCTTTGGTGCCAGTAGGCAGACTCGTTAAACCAACAAGGGTGCACGATGGGCGCATCGCCGACACTCGATGAGGTTCGCGTGACCTCTGAGTACTTCTCTTCGTGGGACCCTTGGTAATATGGCGAAAAACCGCGATGGACTCT